ACCTGCTTCATTACCTGAGCATTAAAAGAAAACAGTCAGGAAATAGCAATAGGTCCAGTTTTTTACAATATAAATCAATATTCAAGAATGTGAATAGATAATTTAAATTACCATAAAAATTAATGCGGCTTACCTGGTGCATATTTTTTTTAATTCGTTTCACCTCTCTGAACCCTATGTTATGGACCTCCTCTGCTGATAGGTCACAGGTAATATGGAACTTCAGCGATTCCTCGTAAAATGCCTTGCCATTTGGTAATGCTGATGATCCGATATTTGCTCGAAGGTGATGAAAGTATTCCTACATATTGAATTAATGAAATGATTACTACTACTATTACTAGTACTAGAAATATTTTAATAACATGCTGCCTTTTGGCTGAGATAGCTCCGATGTCACCAATGCTCATTTCAATTAGAAATCTGGAGTTCCTTAATGTATAATATCAAAGCAATCAAATATAACTTTTTACCAAAATATTCATCAAAATTAAAAAATTAAAGATGTCATACCAAAAGGAATAAATTAAAAAAAGTTAAATTTTCAACATAAAAAACAAAACTTTTTACTAAAAATGACAATAATAAAATATTACAATAATGAGTTAGCAATGCACATTTCAATTAGATGGAGATCTCATCAATACGAAATGAACAAATCTAAGAGAGGTCCACCTGAGGTACCTATATGTATAATATCCAAGCAATCAGACTTGCGGTTTCCAACAAGAAATCGAAAATATAAAAAATGAAAATATTATTCTTCTAAATCAAAGAACTAAAAATATTATCACGGAAAAACCCAAATCTGAGTAAGATCTATCCAAGGTACATATACACTAAGTATCAAAGCAATCAAGTAGCAAAGAAATCGAAAAGGTAAAAACTTGACACAGACACCGATGGAGGATCCCTACTATGACAAAGTCGACAGCGGAGCTAAGCTAAACAACCTGACGAGGCAATATGGATTATTGGTAATTGTTTATCATATTACATATATGATGATATATCATTTTTATTACTTGAAATACATAATATCTACTTTAACATTCACTGGTGTTTAATTTCAATATTTTCATACATTGAGCGATTTTACCGGGGAATAAATTAATAGAGAAGCACAAGATCTTGGTGACCGTTTGCAAATAAAGTATTCTGTTAGAATTGTTTTTTGATTGTCATTGTTGTTGAAGCGCCGCAGTTATATAGTACAAATTTTATGCAAACAAACGATGCATATTACATGTGTTGCATACGTCGTATCTGATCCACAAAGAACACATGCGCAGTCCAACGCTTAAAGGAAACCATGCGCGCTCGGTTTAGTCAAAAAAGAACGTAACATTGGCATAGGCGTTCCGACACTGTGACATAAACTTGGGTCAATGTTATCACGTCGATACACAATCAAATGTAATATTTACTTCAGTTACACCAATCAACATATTAATTCACCTCTAAAGAATAGATCAACATATTCATCTCACACTTCTTAGTAACAGTTTGAAATGAACTGCCAAATTAAATTGGTAAGAAATGACACACAACTATGTAATGCATGATGTATGGAAACTTACGTTCTTCAGAAAATCCACTAATGTCTTGAAAGACTCTTGGATATTATTGACGATTAAATGAATGCCCTGTGAATTGATTTCTTCTTTTCTGGTACAACAATTTGACAGAAACAAATCAATGTAGTTGAAAAATTGCTATACAAATTGTGTAGTGACTAAAGATCTGATATCGGACAACACTGACAGGCAAGTACTGTAACATTGTTTGCTCAGCTGATCATAGGGCACGCACTTGATGGCTGAAATGCTCGCAGTGACCAAGAAATAGCACTAATGTGTTACAATCCCAATTTTATAAGTTATCCCAAGTTATTTTAACCATCTTGCCAATCCACCATGTACATATCAACAGGTTATAGCGAGTGTACACCCTGGATATACCCTAATGTATTCCCACCAGTTCAATCAATCAGTATTATAAAATTAATCCTACTATAAGAAAAATACGAAAGATATATGTACTGCCAACGGGCAAAATAGATATAGATGCAGGTTCGTGGGCACTAATTTAAAATGTATGTAATTGTACAACTTTAACAGATCACGTTGACGTAACAGTCGTGGAACCAAAGGTGTTAAATACACATATTTACATCAAGAAGATTTGTTGGCTTCAACGTGAAGATGTTTGGAATTACATATTGACATATTAAAAAGTACGCTGAGAAATGTCCCCACGCACCTATACACAGCTTGTATACGGAACAACGCCTTTTTATTGGCAATGTTAATGAGCTGGTGATGATTATGTATGCCAATTCAATCATAGACATTTCTAAACCTAAGAATCAACGTACATCATATGACCTTTTGGGGATTTTGTGAGACATTAGCTTTTTTGTAAATCTAGCAAATCGATAATAAAAAATATCATCAACATTAAGAGAGACTTTTACCTGTCTTTAAGTACATTTGTCAGCTCAGCTAATTTCTTGAATGGTCTGTAAAAGGCGGTATCCTTTGGGTCCGATAAGGAGAACTTCTCATTGTTTTCCACCATTCCTTTCTTTAGAAAGAGAACAAAAGGAGAAAATAGTTTATAAGCATAGCTATGTTAAACACAAGAATAAAACAGTAAACATTTTTTTCTCACCACACAGTTGATATGGTGTGTCATTCCTTCCTTGATTCCTTGTTTCAAAAGTTGGATAAAGCAATTCATCTGAAACAATATTAACAAGTGTGTCAGAGGTCCAACCAACATACAAATACCAAAAGTATCAAAAGCAGTTGAGTCGGTAGTTCGTTAAAATGGACACATCAACATATATATATATATATATATATATATATATATAAA